CACTTCTTACTTTTATAATTTATACTTTCTAAATTCTCTTATTTATTCAATTCAAAAAGTATCAACCTAAACAACACATTAAACAATATTATACTAAAATAAAAAAATCATATAACTTACTAAATGACAATACACTAATTAATTAATAAAATTCAATTAAACATTCATTATATAAAGTTGATTATATGAATAAAAAAGAGTATTCTATTGTATTTGAAAATCAATAAAAATAAAATATATAATATATAATATTCAAAATAAAATAAACAATGAAAAATTTATAATTATTAATATTGAAGTGAAAGCTGTTAAATTATTATATGAATTTCATTAATAATTCTGAAATATTTAATTATTTAATTTTTATTCATTATTTTATAATTACATATTTAATATACTTTTAATATATTGAACATATAATTAATATTGTTAATAAGTTCAATATTGTCTTAATATTTTTTTGATTAATAAAAATTTTTATTAATACATTTAAATAAATAAAATTTATTACAACTACAATGTTATTAACAAATAAATTTATATAATATTCAAGTAAATTATATTAATTATTGAATATTATCATTACATTTTATTTTATTAATTCTTTTATAAATTCTTTTATGATTCATTAAATTAACATAACAGTTATTGAATGTTCATTAGTGTTATAAGAAAGTTTAACAAATTAGTAATAAAGAATTTAACAAATAATTTAATAGTTTAATTAAAATAAGATTAACTTATTAATACAAATCAATTAATTAAATGTTAACGGAATTTGCTTCGGTTGTTCCTGGATCATGAGAGTCAAATCCAATCATTTTGTCTTCTTCTAGTAGTTCTAAAGTATACTTTTTGAAACTATAATTAATTTATTAATATAAATACAAATATTTTATATATTCATTCAACTATTATCTTTATTTATTTTCTTTATATATTTGTTATGTTATTACAACAACATCAAACAAAAAAGATGCAATACAGGAGACACCACAAAAAATACAGAAAAACAAATAATCAAAGAAGAAATACATACCAACCAAGAAATATAAATGATAGAAGAATGAGTGAAAATAGGTATTATCAGTATAGACAGAGATACATGAATAATCACACTAACCATTACAATAAGAATTATTACCATAAATATCACAACATAGATGATATAAATCATTTCACTCATCACTTCATTCATAACTATCGTCATAAACACTTAAATAACAATTCCAATAGAAATAAACAATACTATCATAATAGAAATAAATACCATAATAACACTCAAAGAAGATATAAACAATATCAAAATATAACTATTAAAAAAATTTGAACATTTATTAATTACCCATTACAATTAATTTGATTTTAATAATCCTCCTAAATGTATTTATAATGATAAAATGATAATAACTTACATTATTGATTTATTGGTTAGTGACCATTCTTTCCATGCTAGAAGATAAGATATATAATATAAAAATATTACAGAAAAGAAATGATATATTATAGATGTTGTTACATGTCAAGATATGAATGTAGAGTTAAATTATATTCATAAAATAAATAAATACAAAAATTTACAAGAGAAATTAAGAATTAATAGAGAATTAATATATGTAGAAATAATACCTGTTATATTATCAATAAATGGATTAATACACAAAGAATCAGTAAGAAGATTAAAAATGCTAAAATTACAATTAGACTTCCCAAAACTCCTACGAACAATCAATATCAAAAACATGAAAGACTTAATGCTTTACACAGGAAATTCTGGCGGCACAATAGAAGAAGAATCATTTAATTGAATTATAATATTAAATGAATGTAAAACAGAATTAGAAAATAATAAAAAAATTGAAATAGTCACTTCTCAATGACCATAACAATAAATTAAAGATATGTTCTATTAATTGACATTTTTTATTGTTTGGTTATTTGGAAACCCATATTCCTTCTTGTAATTATAAAACATAAATCTACTAATAAACAGACTTTAAAATGTTAAAGATTTAAAAATGTTTCACTATTATTTTAATATACTTAATGAAGTAAATTCTTTCTTTTTTTTGAAAAAATATTTTATTTTATTGAAATTTCTTTTGATGAATAAGACTAATATTATTAATATCAAACTTGATAAAACATTTTGTTAAAACCTTCTTTTAAACATTGTTTTTATTTCAAGAATAACAAAAAAGGAATATTAAAACGAAAATATAGATTTACTCAAATCTCATCAATAAACTTCTTATTTCTTTCCAGTTTTCTTGGAATTAACCTTCTTTCCCTTAGAAGCAGCTTTCTTTGAACCAGCTTTGTTTTGTTTGAAAACAGCATCAGTATCAGCAAATGAGACAACTTTCATTCCATGTGCTTTAAGAACCTTGTATCTATTAAGAATAGCAGCATAACGTTTAGCTTCCTTGAGCATAGCAATTTTATGTAATTTCTTAGCTTCTAATTTTTGAGCCTTATGTTGAAGTCTTCTTGGAGTAACAAGTCTTTGAATCTTTGGTGCTTTAGATCTCTTTGTTGATTTTCCTTCTTTTGGATGTTTTTTAGCAACTTCTCTTCTAATAACGAATTTTTTAACATCATCCTTTTGAGAAAGATTGAAGAGTTTTCTGATATGAGATGCTCTCTTTGGTCCAGCTCTCATTGGAAGTGCATCATTAGTAACTCCTTCAATTTCTCCTTCTCCTTTCTTAACTACGACAGTGTTCAATACTGAAATGTCTCCTGCAACAATAGCTCCTCTAACTGTCTTTCTTCTTCTTTCTCCATTTCTAAGTGGTTTGTAACATCCATTTCTTCCATCAAGAAGAAGTCTGACACGATTGTTAGTAGCTACTCCTGTCATCATTGGGAAACCATCCTTATCACATCCACCAGTGATTTTAAGGATGTATCCTTTGAATTCGTCTCCAAGTGATGA